CACACTAGACGATTTTCAAATCTTAAACGATTTTAAAACCATGGGAGACCACATACATGAAGACAGTTCAACCAATTTTTAGACCTATAATCCTCTGAACGCACACACTTGACGATTCGACCAGACCACACACTTGTTGATTGTAGGAACGATTTCACAGTGACTCGTTGCTCCGGCCTGACAGGGCATCACAGTATGGTAGGGGCGTAACATTTCCGTCACACGCTTGAAGTATTCAGTCAATCACAACGCACTGGATAGCTGGCCAATCAGAGCACACCTCGCTTTTCAGACCGATGAGCTTTGCAAAAATCGACGCGTTTCAGAAAGGTGGGGCATAGAGGATACAAAAAAAATATACAGTATGTGGAAAATAATGTGTTTTTTTAACCTTAAACCGCATAAACACATTTCATTACACCAAATACACAAAATAATGTTCTTTTTAGCAACATCATATGACCCCTTTAACATCTGAAACCATTTTGTAGTGGGTTGCTGTCACGTGGCTATGGAAAGCACACAACGCAGGAGTAGGAATAAACAAGAGTTCTTTAATAAATCCACAGGCAGGAGAAACGCGGGAGATTGACACAAATCAACATCAATATTCAACATTAATACCAGAACTAAGGAGCAACGGCAAACTAAACCACAGGGCTTAAATACTAGGGAGACAAACGAGATAATTAAATCAACACAGGTGAACAGAATTAACTAATCAAGGGAGCATGGACAACTAGATCAAAGAGGAAATACAGGAACAGGAAAAACAAACTAAAAGTCTATATGTTACAACTGAAATCATTCTGAACATGTAGTTAACTCTGGGTAGTACTGTAGGAATTGTAGCAATTTGAATTATGAGAGATAGTTGGAGATTCATTCAGCAATTAAAATCATCTTCAATTGTATTAAGTTTAGATTAAATAATTCTAATAGATGAGGGGATATACACTGAACAAAATTATAAATGCAACACTTTTGTTTTTGCCCCCATTTTTCATGAGCTGAACTCAAAGATCTAAGACTTTTTCTATGTACACAAAAGGCCTATTTCTCTCAAATATTGTTCACAAATCTGTCTAAATCTGTGTTAGTGAGCACTTCTCTTTTGCCGAGATAATCCATCCACCTCACAGGTGTGGCATATCAAGATGCTGATTAGACAGCATGATTATTGCACAGGTGTGCCTTAGGCTGGCCACAATAAAAGGCCACTCTAAAATGTGCAGTTTTATCACACAGCACAATGCCACAGATGTTGCAAGTTTTGAGGGAGCGTGCATTTGGCATGCTGACTGCAGGAATGTCCACCAGAGCTGTTGCCCGTGAATTGAAATGTTAATTTATCTACCATAAGCCGTCTCCAAAGACGTTTCAGAGAATTTGGCAGTACATCCAACCGGCCTCACAACCGCATACCACGTGTAACCACACGAGCCCAGGACCTCCACATCCAGCATCTTCACCTCCAAGATCATCTGAGACCACCCACCCAGACAGCTGCTGCAACAATCGGTTTGCATAACCAGAGAATTTCTGCACAAACTGTCAGAAACCATCTCAGGGAAGCTCAACTGCATGCTCGTCATCCTCATCGGGGTCTC